GGCACCTTTCGCAGCTCTGGTCCCGGACCAGAGGAGGAGACTCGGGCCCGAGCCGAGGACGCCTCACTCTTGACAACTTCTGATTACCTCAGCGTGCTCGCCGCTTGTCAGGCGCTCGACTCCCCCGACAGCCAGTTGCAAAGTGTCAGAGTGTTGGTTATTTTTTGACGGGCGCAGAAGGATGTCTGATTTCACAGGTACCAGCCGGAAGGGAGGGAAGTGAAATGGAGGGAATAAAAACGAAGGAAATGGCATGTCATGGGCTCCACTGCCAACAAAAGGGGAAGTGTGTGCAATCATTATTCATCTGTCTGCCTCGCCTCTCCTGGGTCTTTTTTTTCCTCTTTTCTTTCCCCCCACCAATATCTGCCAAAGCAGCTCTGACCACACGAGCGCTTTCTGATAAATCATATTTGGTTAACTGATAGCCAGGCAGGGGGTCTCGCCAAAGTGAGAGAAGTGTCCTCGGTCTTGGTGAGAGACAGAACGGGGGAGAATCGCCCTCCGGGGGTAAAGCGAGAACTAATGAGCGAGCTAAAAAGGACAAGATGGAGTGATCCTCTATAAAAAGAAGCAGCAGTAATCTCCTCCCTCGCCTCCCCTCCCCTCCTCTTCCACCCCCTTAATGTCCTGAGAGATCTTGGCTCCTCCGTAAAGCCCCGCTGCCTTAGACATCAAACAGAGCTGATTAGGACCCGCACACCTTGCCGGGTTTTGGACGGAGTGCAGCGCGAGTTCACGAGACTCCAAAAAAAAAAAACCCCTTCAAGTTAGTCAGCATCTCTGTAGATTACATAAATCTGAGCCAGCGAGTGCTGGCTGCAGCATCCGCTCGCCGTATCCATCGCACCGCTTCCTTTAAGCCCAATTAAAATCGGTGTCTTTGGATTCCTCTGGTGTTCCAATCTGACGGCCAACAAACACGCCGTCCCTCGCATTTACATTAACGGCCACGGCAGAGGAGGAAGAGAGGATGGAGAGAAAAACCCAAGAGGAGCTGCCGAGTTCACCGTCAAGGGTGTTGTTTTATTAAGACACCGAAAAACTGTCAGGGCAGGTATCAGGAGAGCAGCCGGGCGCGTGACAAGACACTTTCGCTAACATCCCAGTAACCCCTTCCCATCCCGAAAGAGTTCAAACTCGCCGTCCTCCTCTGTCAAGGCTTGAGGAGGTCGAGGGGACTCTTATCGCCACCAATCAACGGAGGTGGGCTGTGACGGGCAGGAGATGGGAAGAGAGGGAACAAAAATAGCTGCAAAAAGAGTGTATTGGGGTTTTTTTTTTTCTTCTCCCCCCAAGAAATCACTCCACCAGCAAAGGCGTTTATTCACTGTCTCGCAAAGTGAGATGGCGCCAACACACTCGAGCTGCAGGAGTTTTACAATCAGGTTGCATCACGAGGAGGAACTTCAGATCTCTGACCTCAGACGTGCTCCAGGACTGGAAAATAATCACATCCTACAGGACGTTATCAGGATTATTGAATCAACTCCACCTGCAATGTTGATGAGCGGCAACGCGTCAACAACCTCTCATCTCTGATTGGCGTTTTTTTAAAAGACTCCTCGGCGCGATTTATAGTTTGCAGGATTTATGCAAAGACGCCTACATTTATCACGACAACGCAGCGGAATATTGCATGAATATTGTATTAGAAAAGGTGGAGGCGGCGGCGGCGGTGGACGTGCGCGCCGTCTCAGCATTAAGCCGCGAGCACGTGCACACGGCCGGTAACGCTGATGGAGCATGACCGGAACACACGCATAAATATGTCGCCTAAAACCACAACAACGCTCTGAATAATTAAGGTTACAGCTGCTTTAAGTTGAGAACAAATGAAAACAAGTGTCCCCGTGTGAAGCTCCGCCGGGCTAATCCACCTTTATTCTATTTAAGAGGAGGCAGCCGCGCAGAAACAACGCGAGCCGAGCGATTCGAGGAGCAAATAAAGCAATATATGTGAATGCGCTATAGCTGCGGAGGTTAAAATCAATACTAATCAGCCACTTTGGCAAGTGTGCCACATGGACGTAATGAGATGACTAACTGACATTTTCATACAGCTGCAGGAGCGTTCTCACATCGGCTGCCCGCCTATCGGGACAAAACGTCCACAAACATGTCTGAGCAAATACATTTCCAGCAGGTTGCCGTTGTCTTGACAACAGCAATTTGCACAGAGGGTCAACAAATTTGTCATTATCGGCCGTGCACTACACGGAGCAATGTGTGCCTTTTAAATAATTTGGTCATTTAGAGGGTTTCGATGCTCCGCTCGCTCCCCTCCAGCCGGGGCCCTGCTTCCGCGCCGACCGCAGTTGCCCAAGTAACAGGACGCGACAACAAAGACGTGCAAAGTCAACTACCTCTGGAGAGAATTCAAATTCGGGAACACTGCTGACACCGGCCAAAGCCGTCTCGCTGCCTTTTCATTCAAACGACCTGCTTTGCATCGTTCGTAGGAGTCCCGGGGCCGGATCGCGCTGTGAAAACAAACGGCCGGGCTTTAAGATAACAGAACCAGAGCCCGGCCGGGGCGCAGTCATCACCGGCCATTATGGTCAGGTTAGCCTGAATGGCTGACGCTCTGGGAAACCACGGCGGGTATGCAAAGCTCCGCAGGCCGACACGGAGGCTGACCAGGAGTTTTGTAGTCAAAGCAGATTGGAGATTAAATCCATGAAAATCGAGTGTTTTGCCTTGTTAACAAGTTCAAATGATGGTTTTACATCTTCGAAGGCAGATCATGAATGAAACAGGCAGGATTTAACAAACCAACAGAACCGGGTTTTCTGCATCATTATATCAGTTCAAGCAACATGTATGACTCTTTTACAGAGTCACAGGTGAGCTGGTGTGCTCGAGTGCTGGTGGGTGGTTGGAGAAAGAGGCAAAGACTTTATAAATCTGGACACAACTTATATCTAAGCCATCATAAGGCAGAAAGGGATTATTTTAACAGAAATAACTTGTTTATTTCATCTCAAATCATCAGGTTCCTTCTGCTCGACTATCTCTGATTTGCTTGAGTGGTTTTTAATCATAAACTTTGGGTATTTAAAATGGTATGTGTGGCTAAAATGTACTTTTCAAGTAGAACTGTAGTTGTTTAGATAAAAGTCTGGACCATTTTAAAACTACAGAACTCCAAGAAGTAGTTTTGTTTTCATGCTACAACTTGTCAGAACTGCTCTATCAGTCATGAAAGGTCATCAAAAATAACTTTATTTTCATTTTTGTGGCCATTTCTTGTTAAAAAATAGTTTAGTTTTGTATTATTGTGACATGCAGCTACATATAGTTCGGAAAATACCATTAGTTGACTCGTTTTTTTGATGATGTGAGCTCAAAAATGGGACTCTTCATGACTTTTCAGGGTTTTTTCTTACATATTTCTACGTGATCAATTTGTCCAATATTCTAAATTAATGACATGATGAGAAATAACTGAAAATTTCAGGCTTTTATCCTCAAGAGTTCCTGAGACGTCATTGTTCAAAGAGCGTCAAATTTAAATGCGCAATAAAACATGCTAAAAGAAAAGTCAATGGCGCTTCTATCCTGGAAAGACGTCGATGTATAAAGCTAATATTTTATATTTATCTTTATAAATATTTATAGTTTATGCTACAACAACTTCAGGCCGATCAGAAATTATTCCAAAAATGTGAGGATTTGAGATGAGTCTGAGTTTTTAGGGGTTAAAGGACTTCAAGATGTAGACATGTAGTTAATCAGTATAAAATACTGTACTCGTATATCAAGTATAATTTTTGCGGTCCTTCGCCCAAAAACCGAGCTCCATTCGACTTAATCCAAAGTGACCACAAATTAGGCAAAAGTAGGTACATCAAATGAAGGTCGTAATTCCACGTCGGCGCGCGTTAGGATATTTACCGTCAAGCCGATCCCCAGCTTTTAATTCATCTGACATCTTTCAGCACTAATACAGTATCTGATTTCTGAGAAGAACCAGAACACGGTCACACAGCGTGACGTCTGAGGGGAAGCAGCGGGTTGCAGGGCGAGTCGCTGGAAACGTGTTTCTACACAGAAACCAGGACCAAGGTCGTCGCGTCTGCACCCGGTTCCACCTTCGGATCGCGAGGCGGCGGCGGCGGCGGCGGCCACCTGCTGCTCTCAATGTTATTCAAATGACGGCACAATTCTATTTTCACCTTACGGCTAACGGGAACATTACTCCTGTGTCAGCAACATTTACCGTCCTGTTCTACTTGGGTGCAAATTAATTCTAGAAATGATCCAGGAGCGGCGGATGCGAGGCCTTATCGAGAGAGAAAAGGCGGCGGCCTCGATCTTGTCGAAACACGACATCGAGCCGGGGCTCGGGAGGAAACGCAAACGGGGAAGTTGTCGGGAAAATAGCGAAGGAGAGGCGGCTGCACGGAGTCACATGAAGGGGAAACGGGGTGGATGGATGCTTGTGTGGAGGTGAGTGAAGGGGGAGGCAAACCCATCATCCACAGAGCCCCACCAGTAGACTCTGGAGGGCAAACAATCTCCCTAATTGAATCCAATCCAGGCGCACCGCAGGAGGGAACCGAGGCTAGTGGCTCCATTCGGTGTGGAGAGGGTTCGTTGGAGTTGGAGGAGGAGGAGGAGGAGGAGGAGGGCCGGGCGCGACGAGCGAGCGAGGAAAAAGAAGATAAGAAGCAGAGAGCAAACACGAAGGGGTTGACAACAAACAGACGAGACGGCGAAGGTTTCGCTGGTTTTGAGGGGTGACGGGAGGAACGGGAGCCAGCTGCTCTTTTGCATGATTACACCAAAAAGAAGAAAAAACAACATAATTTGCATCAGGGAATGAAATCCAAACACGCTCGGCGGATGGTTACCGACCCAAAAATGAAAAAAAAAATCCTCAGAAGTTAAAGGATGGCGTCCCGAAGACGAGCACAGCCAATGAGAGAGCCCGATTGCGACACGTGAGTCATCACCGAGTGGAACATAAGCATGATAGGTAAAAATCAGTACCTTACCTCGTTGTGAGAAGCAGCTTCTTGCAAATTCCCGTATATCACATCCCAGGTAATAAAAGCATCCTGAGGAAGGAAAGAGAAGAAGAAAACAACTTTTAATTAAAGAGTCCTGCAGGAGGAGCCTTTAAGTCACAATTAGGAGGCCAGATTCAGAAGAACACGGTCGCTTTCACGCGCGCAAACTCTTTATTTTGGTCTCTTCTGGGTCGGCCATTATTAAGTGGCATCTTCATAAATTTTTCAGCTGTTGTCTGGTTCCCACACTGGTGCTATGAAGTGCTATTCAGGTCACATCAGCTTTTAATGGCTGATTTATTAGGGCCCAACAGGGGCTCGGTGATGGGCTGCAGGACAAAGAGCCTGTTTTAAACTGCATTAACACTCCGCAGTAAATATCCCATACAACATTAGCATTTTGATGACTGCCTCGCCTCGTCACCTTTTCGTTTCTACCCTCCTCCTCCTCCTCCTCCTCTGCCTCTTTAGCCATCAATCCATCTTTCGCCACTTTTTCCTCGGCCTTCGTTTCTATTTTTCCGTCGACAAACCACCCGGAGGTTAATTCCAACAGCGCGGATTAAGATCAGCCATGTTTCCCCTCCAATAACGCCCGCCCGTATTGTGATGCAAGCTATATTTACATGATTTATAATTAAATCTCACACGCAATCATAACACTGATGAGCGCTTTTGTAATTGAGGTGTCTGTGGCAGGTTGTGGTCCTGAATAATGAGCTAAAATTAAAAAAGATTAATTAGTAGTACTGTGTTTACTATGCAAATGAGGCAGATAGAGGAATTATAAGGACCTTTTTTCTAATATATTAAGGCTGTCCATCACAAATTAATAAAAAAAGACTGATGTCACTGATCAAAACCAGCACAATTGTTCCCTTGTTTTGTTTTTTTTTTTTTGGGTGAAACTGTGCAGAGACAAGAGGAAAAAAAACTAAATTACGTTGCCAAATTTCTAAATATCATCCGGGCACAATGGCCGACCGATCTTGGCTTCCGAACAAGTGCCGGGGCCGTGCTTCATCAAATCTGCTGTTCATTATGTTTGATCAAATTTGAGTCTTTGGCAGAGGGAGCAGATGCTATAGGTCAATTCAGCTCGAACTGCTCAAACTAGTTTGGTCAACAGAGCATCTGCCAGTCGTTTAGCCGGCCGGCGAGTGTTTGGAAAGCGACGCGACCGCGCCATATTGCCACGATCCCGACCGCAAACTGTTGCAACAAAAGGAGACCCGGCTCAGGATAAAAATCACGCTCCGGACAGCGCAATGAGCCGCGGTCGGGTTTTATCATGTGGATCTTTTTTTGTCTCATTTGCAGTAATTGTACTTTTTTTTAAAATTCCTCACATTTACCTCTTAGAGAAAAAAAAAACAACAAGCCGCTGCTCCTCTGCCCGGTCTTCCTCGCTGAGCAGAGGCAGCATTGGAGCCAAATTTACTGCTCTCTTGTAATCATCGGTGTTAAAGCACTGGCACTAGTCGGGAACTGAGGCTTCCAAAATATCTTCAAAGAGTTCTGGACCGGAGAAGTACACGCCAGGCAGCTCCAGGCACCCGAGGCAATCTCGCACCATTACGACCAGGATGTTCGCTCCAAAGATATGCAGCGGCATTGAACTATACGGAGAGGATGACCTGACATGACATCATGGGAAGAGCTGCTTATTAATGCCAGGATGCTCATTAATGGTCTGCAGCGCGCCGTCGCTGGCATGATAACACAGAGATAAGACTAGAAGGGCTGCTTCTCTTCACAAGATTGGATTTGGGATTTAAAGACGCACTGCACAAAATGATTTTAAATAGTGTCTGACTTTTAAAAATCTATTTATTTATTGGTTGTTTCTTTAAAGATTTTCCCTGTTCTGGTAAATTACAGATAACATCTTTTAAAATCACAGAAAAAAAGTATGTATTTATATTTTTAAACAGTAAAAAAATTAAATTAAATTAAATAAAACAAAAATTAAATAATAAAAAAAAGCCAGTATCTTAATTAATCGGAATTCATTCCTCGTCTGAATTTGACGGTAAAATTACACAATTTTCACTGAATTAAAATCAGGGGAAAAAAAGTTTCTTATTTTATAGATATTTGCTTTTATTTAAAAGAAAAAAAAATATGTATATGAAAGA